TACTGCTTTTCAACCTCAGCTGCTTCGTGCGGCACAGCTGATTGCCGTGCGTCAGCTGTTTTACACATGGAACTTGCAGCAGAAGGTGAGTTGCAAACGTGTGCATGCAAAGCGCACGCTTACACTGAACCAGTAGGAAAACTTTTTTGAAACCCACAAAAAAGCATATACAAAAAATGTAAAGCCCACAGCAGTTAGGGGAGAGGGTAGAGAATAAATTCACAATCAAACATTCAGCACAACCAAGAAATGGGCTCCACCCCACACCCATTTTGCCTGGCTTCGAGCAAATAGCCATGTCTTCAAAATCTTATGGAGGGCCAATATGAAACTAGCCAATCTAATCTCTGGAGGAATAATATTCCAAAGGGCAAGTGCTACAACCAGAAAGATTGCTACCCAGAGTCACTTTGGTGATGGGTGATGGGCAGCATAAAAGTTTAATAAATAAAATAGAAAAAGACTTCCTGCTTAAGTCCCACCAGTCAGCAGGATCTAAAGGGTGTCCCTTTTGTCAGGCAGATGGGATGGGTAGAAACAACTGGGTAGACACAGTGCCATAAATAATCATGTCCCAAGCTATGAAGAGCTCTAAAGGTGACTACCAGCATGTTGAATTGCATCCAGTGTACCAGTAGTAGGTGATGCAACTCGGAAAGCAGTGGTATCACATGCAGAAAAAGAGATAAGAGGTAACACTACTAACTTGTGCAGCAGCTGAAACTTCAAGGTCAGCCCAATCTACTGATGTCAGAAATGGATACTTTTATTGCTCTCTGAAATAGGGGATATGAGTTTTACAAGCTTCTGATTTGCTTCTCTCTTTCTAAAATATCTTTTGTATTGCAGGTATGAAGTTTGCACTGTTTGCATACAGATTATTTTTTTGTTGTTGCTTACAATCTAGTTGTACCATATTCTTGGAACTGAACTACTTGTTCTTTATGGTAATCAGCCTAGTTCTGCAAATCAGCTTGTTCTTTATGGTAATCAGCCTAGTTCTGCAAATCAGAAACTCAATGTTGGCTTCAGTAAGGTTTGCATAGCATCTTTGTTGTTTTGGTTCTTGTTGTAAAGCTCACTTGTCCTTTGAGTTTCCTTCACAGGCTTATACTGCCTGAGGCCTTCAACACATAGCATTCCTCTCTAAAATGTTTCTGTATACATTTCCTTAGCTCTGTAAACAGAATGTAGAAAGCCAAATGCTAAGTTAATGAAATCCTAATTGAACATGGAGAAGATCATAATACCAATACCATGCAGAATATTTAGGCCTTAATCAGTCATCATTGTCCCACTGAAATAAGTAGGCCTCAAAATTGTTCAGGTTTGATTGAATCTCTAAGAGGGAAGTTGTTTTTAATTAAAGAAAAATTGTATACATATATACACACGCACAAATATGTACACATGCACACATAACATTTTAAAATACTAACATGAAATCTTTAATCAAAAAAATTGTTTACAAAATGAGTCACAAAAATAGAACAATAAAAAATCTGCCCTTTAAAAACCCAAACTATTATCAAAATATTTATATAAAGAATTTTTTTCACTAGAAAAGTTAATATTGGCAACAAAATGACTAACTACAGACATTATTCCATTAACTAACCAATATAATCAGGAAAACTTTCCCTAACTGATATGTTTCTCTCCTAAAAGTGCTCAAAGAATTGTTAATTTGATAGAAGAGAATATTTGTAGCTCAGGGATGAAATGAGGGGTTCATGGTGCTCTCTAAGCTTGGTTGTTTTCTTGCAGTCTTTTCATTACCCCAACTAGATAACATAGTGCAGAATCGTTAATTTATCAAGAATTTCAGAATTGGTTGAACATATTTAAGCTTTGAAAGGCAAAAAAATAAAATAGAGCTGTAGAATTAATTGTGAATCTGTTTTAAGCATTCATTCTTAATTTCTAAAGCCAAGTATTTTATCTAACTTATACTTTGCTAATTCTGGTGTGTAGTTGGAGTGGAATAAAAGAGTAATAAAATGGAAGAGTTCTTTTATATGTAAATATAGGGATTTCCCCAGATTCATATTCATGTGTAGCATACAGTACAATGCAGTGTAACGTATAAAAACAGCAATCCTATACCTTAAGGATCAGTGGTGGGATTCAAATTTTTTTTACTACCAGTTCTGTGGGCATGGCTTGTTGGGTGTGGGCATGGCTTGGTGGGTGTGGCTTGGTGGGGCAGGGGAAGGATATTGCAAAATCTCCATTCCCACCCCACTCCATTGGTTACCATTGGTTCTCTGAACTACTCAAAATTTCCACTACCGGTTCTCCAGAACTGGTCAGAACCTGCTGAATACCATCTTTGTTAAGGATGCACTTTGAAGAAGTTTACAATAGTTAGCTAAGTAGACACCTGAATAATAACATAATTTGTATCTTACAATCTTTTAATTTTAAACTTACAAGATGTTAAATGAATAGAGTATTGTCAGCAACATAAAATCTTTTATAATAAGATACTTCTTAAATTTGTTTCAAAAGTTGAAAGATATATAAATGGAAGTTTCAACACAATATTTCTATTAATTGTATTTAAGCTAAATTTTAAAAGCAATTATTTATAATTATATTTTATAACTTCCAACTTCTGAAAATCATGTTGAAAAGTATGATGGAATTGATTCACATTTCCTGATTTCAAAAGGTACAGCAACAACCATATTAAGCTAAATCCACAGTTTTCTTTTATCTCTGTTCTATATCATACATATTTTACTCTGAAAAGAGTTTCTTGAAACTTTATGTAATTGTTGAGACACTATATAATTTTCTGCCTGCCATATTTTGTTTTTTATTTAAATGAAAACATGGTAGTCTAGGATTCAATAAAAGTAATTCTAGCGGGGAATGCTATGTAGAGGAACATATTTATCTTGAAATATACAATAGATATGGCTGATATTAATTCCCAAATGTTTGGTGGGGTGCACATCCTTTTACTACTTGCATCATTTGTTTACAGATAAAAATTGATTATTTATTAATTTGCTTAATAATACATGTGTGCTTGTCTGCTTTGTGGATACAGTATTTTATGTCTTTCCTATTTTACACATATATAAATCCCAATCTTCAGTTTTATATTAAAATGCTACTGCAAAAGTTGATCCCTTTTCTTTTTGACAAAATGGCTAGAACATTTCTTGTAACATTTCTTATTGTATTTATTTGATATAGTTTATCTATTTCTACCTCATATGATCCCCTCCTCCCAAATTGCTGAAGTTTTCTCTAATATCTTCACAACAATCCTCTGAAATTGCTCTAAAGCAAAATTCTTTCTCTCTTAATTCTATAAGTTTGACTTACTTTTGAAAGTTTTCACTTTTCATTAGTTTACATCTCCAGGCTTGTTTTATAGAGCTTTCCATCTTCTTATCATCTTTCATCTTTACAAGTCTTTTACCCATTTTTTTTAAGCTGTCAATTTAATATCAGTGATACAGCTAACTTACTGCTCAGGGTCTCAACATGTTCTAGTATAATTCCTCTCTCCGCAAGTTACTCTAGCAATCCTCTCCTCCCTTCGACTATTTTTGCTGTTTTTCTAGTGGTTGCCATTATATTATAATCCAAAAATGAAAGGGTGTCAAATACGAAAAGGAGAAAAGGTAAACTTCCCCCTTTATTTTATTTATTTTTAAATTTATTTCATTTGTCAAACAAAAATTATAAATTCAAACAAAGAAAATAAGAAAACCAAAATGTGACAGAGATAGTAGGCACACCAGTGCACTTACACACATCCCCTTAGGGACCTCTTAAATATGGAGTGAAGTACACAGAAGTTAAATTAGAATTAAAACTGTGAAAGTTAATGGCTGGGGCAACTGAATCAAGACATTCCAGACTTTGACAATTCTGTTGCAATGATCAGTTTTTAAATAATTGAGTTTGGAGCGGTTTACATTAAGTTTAAAGCATCCATTACATTACAATTAATGCTAAAAAAGTCATTAACAGATATAGCATTACTACACATAATTTTGTGTGCAATACCTAAGTGACCGCAAATGTCACAGTTCTAAATTATCCAAACCAAGAATTTCAAGCCTAGTAGCATAATTTCAAGCCTTCTGTGCATATTCTGTTATGCACAGAAGAATGCAAGACTTTTCGTGTAAAATATTTCTGAACTCACTTGATTGTATTCATGTCCGATGTGCAGAAAGGATTCCAGACAGCTGAATAGTATTCCAGCATTGGCATAATGTATGTTTTGAAAGCTCAATGAGCAATATAATATTTCCAGAAAAAAATATTCATAGAATTAAATTCACAACTTTCAGTGCCTTTTTTTAGCAATGATGTTGCAATGAATTTTACCACATAAATTGTCAGAGAGAAGTACACCCAGGTCTTTAACAAAATAAGAGTCATTACTTTTTCTACTTCGTCTTCCTGTGCCCTTCATATTTTTGTCTCAAATGGCATTCCATTGTTAATTAACATTCTAGTCAGTATCTCCATAGTTACAGACAGCATTACAGTCTGGTTCATGTTACAGTGAGAAAATCTCTTATCTGTAAATTAGTGGTAACTGAAAATGTTTAAGAAATGTGGGTTGTCCATATAAGTTGCATTATGACAGTGAGCTTGATTGAAATCCCTCAATTTCCAATTGCTCAACCACAAATAACTCAGTTTCTGCTGTGCTGATTACAAGTGGGCATTCTCACAATCTCTGCTTTTTTCAGAGAAGCTGCACTGGCCAGAATTCACCATCTGACTGCTGATTTGTACCACAGTGCCATCCCTCCTCCTTTTGGAAGATCTACTTCACTATGAATTCTTACTTATAAACTTACTTATAATGCTCAGTGTAATCTGTCGATAAGTTGAGAAAGCGTTTTCCTACTTTTGATATGGCAGCTTTTCTGTTCTAACCGATGTAAACTTTGGGATGTGTGTGTGTGTGTATAAAAATTAAGTATTTGTTCTTGTTGATTGGTGATATTGTTATTTTAAAGATCATCTGTGACATGGAAGCCCAGATCCATACCCTGAGGGAAGAACTGATTCAGGTGAATACTCAAAGAAAACAGCAATTGGTAGAACTTAGTCTTCTTCGGGAAGAAGAAAAGCAAAGAGCGGCTCGAGATCATGAGACTGCCATGAACAAAAAGAAAGCTGAGTCAGAAAAAATAATTCTAGACCTGAAAAAGACTAATGCTGTAGAAAAGGAGATGGCGCTGGAAAAGGTAAGAATAAAAATATCTGATTAAGATATTGCAATTCAGGGATATTACAATTAATGTGGAACTAACTCAGTGTTGTAGTAAGTCTGAGAAGCGTGAACAACACTATCTTCATTCTGCACAATGCATATAAACCAACACTGTATAGGTAGTGGAAGGGGTTCTTTATTGAAGCCTCTAGGAAACCATGCTTTCAAATCAAAACTATAACACAAAGAGCTACTCTGCTTCAGAGCAACAGAGTAGCTATGTCACTTCACTTATCTGGATAATTGGGACACCTGCACATGTGTCGCTGTCACTGAAGGAAAGTACTTGTTTGAGATCAGCTCAGTTTTGATTGTCATTGAGGAAGAGAGAGGCAATTCATTAAGGTACTTCATTGCAACTCCTCAAACTGAAGCACCTGATCCAAGAATATACCAACTCCAGAATGTGGCAGTATGGGCGGGCATTAATGTCACAGAATGCCTGTGTGATATCACTGCTATATGAGCTGCACTAGTCACCAGTTGGCTTCTGGATATTTAGGGCCTGATTATTTAAACATGGCATAGAGCAGGGGTGGGCAAACTACGGCCCGCGGGCCACATCCGGCCTGTTGGTCTGTCCAATCCGGCCCGCCCCTGAAAAAAAATCGCTCGGCATTGCCCTGCGCCGTGTGGCCCCCAAAGCTGCAAAACAGTGCAGAGCGCTCTCGGGGTAGGAAAGAAAAGAAGAACTTTGCAAAGGCCTTGGCTGGGAGTTCGAAATCACCTTCGAGTTCGACCTCTCCGAAGGTGAGTCCCCGCCGATCCCCTTTTTTTCCGGGGCTTCCAGGTTTAAACTTTGCAAAGGCAAAGTTTGCAGGCTGGAGCGTCTTCCGGCTGAGGAGCGGGAAGGGTTCCACCCGGCGGGTGGGCGGGCTGCTTGGAGCGGGCTGCTTGGAGCCACCTAAAGCTAGGCCGTTGCTGGTGGAGCCTTGCCCTGCCTTGGTGCCCCGTTTCCCAGCTCGGCGGTCCTGCTTGGGCGGCACTTTAAAAGCCTGCTCCCAGCACCCGAGCAACTTCCCAGCAATTTGCGGCTTCCTTTTTCCTTGCGGGCGCTCATGCCTGGCCCCGAGCCGTGCGGCGGAGGGGAAACCCGGAGCACCGCCAGGTCGCCTCCTCCAAGCAGCCCGCCCGCCCACCGGGCGGAACCCTTCCCGCTCCTCGGCGGGAAGACGCTCCCGCCTGCAAACTTTGCCTGTGCAAAGTTTAAGCCTGGAAGCCCTGGAAACCCAAGCAACTTCCCAGCAACTTTTGACTTCCTTTTAACTCACGGGCACTCGTGCCTGGCCCCGAGCTGCGCGGCGGAGGGGAAGCCCGGCGGGCGGGCGGGCGGGCTGCTTGGAGGAGGCGACCCGGCGGTGCTCCGGCAGCAGCAACAGGCAGTTCCGCTCAGGCTCCGCTCAGGTGTCCGGCTGGGGCTGTCAGGAGTTGCTACTGCCGGCGCAGCTCCGCGCGGCTCCAGTCCCGCGTTGCCTTGGGAAGGAAAAGGCAAAACCAGGAGCCGCTGAGCCTGAGCCTCCGGTGCCGCTGCTGCCATTGCAAAGCACTGCCGCGGCTCTTCCTTTTTGCCTTTCCCTTCCCGAGGCAATGCGGGACTCGAGCCGCGCGGAGCCGCGCCGGCGGTAGCAACTCCTGACTCAGGGGGCCTCCAAGGGGAGGGGAAGGAGGAGAAGAGGGGGGGAAAGGGTGGGGGGGGCGATTCCACAAAAATCTTGTGCTGACCCGGCCCGTCTGTCAAATTTTAAAAGTCAATGCGGCCCCCGAGCCAAAAAGTTTGCCCACCCCTGGCATAGAGACTGGTTATTTGTGGGACCTTGTATCTCCAGTTTTTTATACCTCTCTGATAAGATCTAATAGCATGGATGCAGTTCATATCCCCTCAAATAATGTCATCTCTTGGAACTTTGGAGGCCTGCCTTCCTTGTTGTTGCATCTGCTCTCTGGAGCAATCTTCCCCAGAGATCCATATGGCTCCTATCCTGATGATGTTTCCAAAGACACGGAAAACTTGGCTGTTCTCTTAGGCCTCAAGGACAAGAGGGTTGTTGATTTTATTCTACCCTGTAGGTTGCTTTCTGGATGTATATCATCTGCATCTCTGTTTTATTCTTCTGTTTTTTTCTTATGTAAAGTACCCAGAATCAGTTGGAGTCAGGTATTCTTTAAATCTATATAAACAAATAAATGTAATGAGAATCATTCCCAAAGGAGTGACTTGGGCCCAAAGCAGTAACTCAGGCCACTCCAAAATTCAAACAGCATAATTTATTGGAAATTGAGCTACAACCCAGTGGGTGTCTAACTCTTGCCCCAGCACTGAATGCAAACGGTCTCCTCCAAAGCCTTGAATACAGGACCAAATGCCCTTCTGAAAGTTGGCATAGTGATGTAATTTGTAATGTGACAGAAGGGACACTTATCAAACACATGAAGACATTTTTATGGAGTGCAGTTTCCCAGCATGCAATTGATAAAACTAAGAACTAGGAACTTGGACCAAGTAAGTTTATAACTATGAGTATATAGTTAGAGACTGGGCTTTCCCACCATCTGAACTGGAATCAAATTTATTTAAACTGCCTTACTTGTTAAAGGATTTGTAAGTAATACATTTATCAATTATTCCTGTTTCTCCCCCCCATTACCTTTTATATTACAGCCATAAAACTTTGTTGTTCCCTTCTTAGTCTATTATCAAAGTGTAATTAGTTATTAAGCGTAGCCAGATCTGCTAACAATTATTTCAATGTAATAAAGGGAAGATTAAGAATTTATGGTACTGAGTTGTGGATGCCTCTGTAGATTGTCTCATTAAATTTAAAAGTTAATTCTGACTTTGCCTTTCCAAGTTATTTAAAATTCTTCTAGACACTCCTGCACTGGAGTAAAGATTAAGAGCGGTTAAAATATATATTCCTGTTTTACAGAAGGGTAAACCGAAAGTTAGATGATTTTTCTCTTGGAATCCTTGATCAGCGGAATGATCAGAAACTGTAGGCTGTAGGTGGTTGGTGCAGTGACAGAGAATGCATCACCTCTGCCTTGCTCTGCCCACATAGTTTTTAGTCTGTATCTAATTTTTGCAATTTTATTCTGCTTTTATGTTTATCATTGTTTTTATATCTCTATCTTTACTATATTTTAAGCTTCTAGGGTCATTTTGGGTAGTGAGAGAGGAAGCATATGCATTTAATAAACAAATTCAATAAATAAATAAGTACAAGGACTTAGTAACAATGTGTATTATTATTGTTAGCAGGGTACCAGACACCCTACCAATTTAGTGCATTCCTATTTAGCCTGATTTTTACTCCACTTCTGCCCAGCATTTTCTTTTGTCATCAGTGCAGTAAATTGAACACTTGCATGTCTTGGTTCAAATGAAAAATCAGAGAGTGTGGGCCAGAATCAGGTATTATGAAGTTGTGTTCTTGTAAAGGAACTTGAATATTCAAATTCAGTCTTCAAATACCTCAGAAGGGAAATACTTTCTTGTTCTATCTCTTATTTACTATCTTTGTTTTTCTTTCTTTGATATAATTAACACTTTTTGAATCAGGAAGTTGAATATTTGTCCTATTAATGTACCAGCATACATAGAGCATTAAACAATATTACTACTTTCCTGAAATGGTACAGCATATAAATGAAGCAAAATACTGCTCCTGATAAAATAAACCTTCATTTTACTTTACATCTAGGGCTTTGGTTTGTCTTGTTTTGCCATTGCTTTGGCAAAATTCATTTTTGGTGGTGCTTAAATACTTGATGTTAGACTACAAAGAAACTTCTCAAAATACTTATCTACATTAGTTGACATCCAGGTGTTTAAATGCTTTAGCATTTATTAAAGTACCATCTATAATTTATTGCAAGATGAAATATGGCAAACAAATGGAACAATTAGCATATAGAATTGGAACAGCATTTGGGAAACTGACATTTCATTTGTGGGTATCATATTCTTCGTCTCTAATTTTAAACAGCTTACGTTGGAAATCTGCCAGCTTGAAACTATTACATAACTATGATCAACAGTTCAGAATCTTTTCTGAATTTAAAGAAATCCTCACTTAGCATAATTATTTAAAGCCAAGGTCAGAGAAAGTATTTAAATCTTTGAAATTCTTAATTAAAGGATTAATATTAACTCATGACGACACTGTCATTTTTGCTTAAAAGCTGAATTTGAATCACATTCCCTTTTTCTCCTTAGATCTTTTAAAATTTGAAACACATTAATGGGAAAAGTTAAGTTTTCTAAATTAAAGTTATGTTGCTTTATTATGGTATATTATCTTTTTAAAAGTAACTTCTTTTTTTTAAAGGAAGCAAAACTATTAATAACTAATGCCAACTGAAAATTTTAAATGTTTGCCTATATCTCCAGAAACAGAATCAGATTTTCCAGGAACTTTATATGGCAAGTGGACCAGTTGTAGTCTGCAGCAGTACATATAATTTGAAGAAATATAACATGGAATCTGTATGATACTTATTGGATATAGAAAAGATTTTCCATCTTAAGAAGTTTGGTAGATGATTAGTGGGCTGTTGGGCTAAAGTCTGCTTTATTTGAGGTATGTAATGTTTAAAATGTCAGAGGCTACTGCTCAGCTTTCCAATCTTCTGAAGGCTACACAAGACTACCAGAAAACATGAGTGATCTCTCTCTCTCTCTGTCTCTCTCTGTCTCTGTCTCTCTCTCTCTCTGTCTCTCTCTCTCTCTCTTTTCCCCTCCTTCCCTCCCCCTCTCTCTGTGTCTCTATTTTTAACTAGGATGGTAGGATTTACGAATAGGAAATGGAAAAAGAAAGCCTCCCAGATACAAACCACTTCTATTTCTCTGCTTAAAACTAGCTGAAAAAAATAAGCCAAAGTCGTGAACATTATTGATGCCGTCTTCGTGCTCTGGAGATTATGGATTGCCTGCTCGTACATTGCATAAAATACCTAATCATTAGTATTTATGCT